TAAAAAAAAATAAATTAAATAAAATAAAAAATAAAAGTAGAAGGAAAGCAAGAAATAGAAACTCACCATTAGACAAACACCTCTGTAATAATTGTTGGAGACAAGATCCACCGATGACTGCTAAAATTAGTGGGTGAGAAGTTTACATAGTCTCAAAGCATCTCCCCCAAGATGTTTATTAACTACAAAGAGAGAGTCACTTCATGGCGGAGACGTCAGACAGAAACCACCAGAACCAAGTGGCCCAGGCCAACATCTCCAGCAATAAGACATATCACTATCCATACCACGAACCGCAGGAGATGATGTACTAAGACAAGCACAACCACACTCTGCCAAAAACACAGCTCAGTCATGAGGAAACATAAGACAAAGCCAGAGTGGGGGACACTGGACAAAATAACTGACCAGTGCTCTTTAGAAGTGGCACAGTCATGAAAGACAAGGAGACAGGGACTATCTTAGGCCGCAGGAGACTGAGGGGAAGTAACACTCACATGTCCCCTGGGATAACTACCTTGGGTCCTAGACAGGATGCTAGAACAGAAAAGGGCCATTAGTATCAAAACTGGTGCCATTCAAAGAAGGCCTTTAGGTTGATGGTGGTCCGCACACGTCATGTTCCTGTTCCGACAATCATGCTACGGTCGGCTAAGATGTTAACTTTCGGGGTGTACGGAAACTGTACTATTTTTACAACATTTCCTTAAGTCTAAAATTAATTTAAAATAAAAAGGGTTTTTTCCAAAGATCCTGGTTTGCTCCCTGACTATTGTTGTCGAAGCACTAGACCCTGTTGGGAAAAGCGCTGGGACCGCAGGTGTACCAAAACGCTGGTGACTCTTCTCTTGTGCTCTGTTTGATTCCAGGTAGGATAGCCTAAACTCTATAAGCCCAAGGTCTCAAAGAAATAAAACTTATGACGAAGAATATTAATATCAGTCATCACCATTACTCTTTTTATTGGGTGTTTCCAATGTATCAGGCACTGTGCTGAGTGCTGGACTCACACCATCTCATTTTACCCTCAGAATAAGCCTATAAAACAGATGTAGAGGTCGCTTTTGGGCAAGAGGCTTGAACGATGGAAGCCTGAGTGAGGTAGAAGGGCCCACGGTGCCCCCAACCCCCTGGGTGAATACAGACAGGCCCATCAGGCGACCCAGCTCAAAGTATCTATAAACTCTAGCTGACCGATAGGTTACTTACACCTGGACGCGGGTACCAAAAAAGGAGAATCCCATACGTTCCCATACCTCCTCACCCTCTCTGCTTGGTGCAGCCCTCACCCACTGCCTCGTGCCACAGACTCTGCTCTGCGGTTCTGCTTTGCAGTCCTGCCCACAGCGCCCTTCCCTGTCTTCAGTAAACCTCCATCTCCTTTGTTCTGCCTCCGGTGAATGCTTTTACCTCCTGTGCTTCTGGCTTCCACCCAAGTGGGTCCCCCCACATTTGGGGGCCCCCATCTGATCAGGAAAGACAAGAGAGATTGCTAGTATGACCTCTTAAAAAAGAGAAACCACCGGCGCCTGGGTGGCTCAGTCGTTAAGCGTCTGCCTTCGGCTCAGGTCATGATCCCAGGGTCCTGGGATCGAGCCCCGCATCGGGCTCCCTGCTCC